GTCACTTCTATTAACGTCCACTTTATGGTGGGAGAATTTTCTGGATAAAATCAATGGAACCGGAAAAGTCAAGCAGTTTCTCTTGAAAACAAGGTTTGAAATTGAAGAAAGCCGGTCTTATATTTATGTTTTTGTGTCCGTATTGAAACTCGTGACGGCAATTGTTTCTGCACGTCTTTTTGTTGGAGAATCCTTAGCGCTCTTCACAGTAGAATTCTGGGAAGCATTATTAAAAAATCAGACACTTAGTGATTATTCGGATATACTTATTCTAATTGCATCCGGTTTCATTGGATATTATGTGGCTTACACATCCTGCAAACTACATATGCAAATATTTTCTTTTTCTCTACCCTGCCTGCTATCTACACCAGTTGCAGTAATTCTGATGACAGTATACTGTCAAAGCAGTTCAGACTATTTTTCATCTATATTCAATTTTGACAAAGAATCCTGCTGTGATTTTCCAATCTACAGTCCCTGGTATCACGTGACCTTAGCCTCACTCTGGTTTCTTTCCTTATACTGGGTTGGACAACACATTTGGACTCCACAACAAGAAAGGCTTGCAAAAGTAGACAGGTGATAGATTATTTTTTTCCTTACTCATTTATAATGTAATAAGTTGTTTATATTAAGGTACAGTAACACGGATATCAGGTTGTATACTTGACATTAGAGCCAGAAGAAATTAAGTCTTTTACAAACACTGTTATACAGGTGGTTCTTTTAAATGCAAGCTTCAGCAATATAGCCATCTATCCTTGTTAAGATGTATAGATTTTTTATTTATCTATTTTTTTTTCGGGGAATTTTGTAATTTGTTACTTTAGTATTAACAATTATTTTCAATGTTTAGTCTTTTTTTTTTTTTAAAAAAATGACATAATAGAAAAAAATGTCTCTGTTGCAATTCAACACTAATATTAAGTCATCTGTATAGTCAATCATAAATTAGTGAAACATCAAGCTAAATTTCCATGATTCAGTGCAGATTTCGTGATTCATAGGAATATGCCTAAAACGTGTATTCAATCGACGCATAGCAAAGAAAATCTATTTTTATCCTTAAAGCAGAACATATACATGTAATACTAGTAAATTGATCTGACTTGCATTTTTCAAGTTGTAGATTTAGGATATTCTCACACTTTTATTGATTCGTGATTCGATCCTTTTGCACCAGTTTTTTAATTAAGTATATAGGGGGTATTCAGTGTTTTGTAGTTGCATATTAAACTTATTTCACAAGTGGGGCAGTATTTTTGGATATTTTCACGAGTGCGAAGCCTGTCTCAAAAGGGGAAAATATTCCATAGCCAACTATAAAACATCGAATTTTCTTTTTCCTTTGCCCCTGTCTATTCGTACCACCAAGTCATAGGCTCTTAGGTAATACATGAGCGTTGAGACGTATAGCCTAACAATTGTGAGATGAAAAAAAAATATTCTTGATTTGTAGAAACTACGGCAGTTTTAGTCTCTGTCAGGATGTTTACTTCTTTTATCTAATAACAAGTCAGGGAATTCTTCTTTTTTTACAACATTCTTTGTGAAAAAAAAAAGTTTACCTGCACTTCTCATATTTTGTCAGAATCTCTGACAGAATATCATTTTTATATTCTTTCACATTGTGACAGAATATCACTTTCATTCAATATAGAAATTGCGTTATTTCACTGTTGAAAATGTAATAAATGTATGTAAAATGTAATGAAAATGTAACCCTCAAGGAAAAAAATATTTTACTTCTCATTACAACAGCGTATTTTGGGTCGATATCTAGATTTTCTAAAATTTTTATTTTAATGTTCGAGAAGATGTGCAAGGTAACCGCTTTGTCATAGTGTCTTATTTGCATTGAATTAAAAGAAGAAATAAACATTAGCTTAGTTATACTATCTGCAAGTTTCTGGTGACTTTAGAAGAGTCTGTCAATAAATTGTCACGTTTTATATGCCTTGACAACATGCTTCCATGTCCTGCAATTAAAAACTGTAAAATTGATTCATGCATGCAATGTCAGCATGAAAAATTTGCCCGTGGCTGTTTGGTTTGTTCCTGTATCCAGATTAATGAAAAAAAAATTACTCGGCAAAGCAACACTAACGTTTACATTCAATTATCACAAAAATATAATTTTCCAGAGTCCCGTGTGCATATCAGTGAAAAAAAAGCATTCTAAGGACTCCTAAAATATCTTTGTAATCAAAGTTATAGAATTCCTAATACATAAATAAATTCACTACTAAATATTACCTGTATCTTTGAATCTCGGCCGCGACTGACCTATGTCGATAAAAATGGGATACTAGCTGTTCCTTCGCCATGCTCTCGGCACTTTGTAGTGAAAGTTGCGGGTCCTTCGGATGAGACCTTAAAAACTGAGGCCCCTTGTCACGGCAGACATTGGCACGATAAAGATCCCTCACTGCTCAATGGCCCTGAGTGCCGAATGTAGGTAAACAATTTGAAACCTTCACCGGTATATGGTGACGTCTCTATATAAGTGAAAATTCTCGAATTGGACGTAAAACAACTCACAATCAATCAATCAACAATTACAATTATTTATTTTATTTTTCACCTAATGTTACTTAATATGTGAAATTTGTGAAACATGTTTACTCTTATCTTACATGTACTTTTTATTATAAAGGCCATATATTTTTGATAAACGTTTATAGTAAATCAAATGTTATAATGGCATATCTAAGATATTTATTTTCAAAGGATGCATTTACCAAACTGTACTATTCTAATGCAAGGATATATATATAATTTGATTAGGGTATTTAGCTTTTGAATATTTGACGTCATATAAATAGTTAATCTAGTCTGAAGGGGTTAAATGTTTGTGTGAACAAAAACCTACCTTAATTAAAAGAATTACAGTTGAACTTCGGTATCTCAACCATTGACATCCCGAATACCATGGATATGTCGAAGTGATTGTGAAGTCCTAACTGCTTATTCTTTTATCATTTTACCCATGATATCACGAAGGTTTTTCGCTTTCCCATCGAGATCGAGATGACGAGGTTTGACCGTATGTATTTATATCTGTAACATGTAATAATATAATATCAAGGAAAAGCATGTATTGACAAAGTATGTCTTATCGATTTCTTTGCTCGATACTTTGCGTAACATCAATCGGTGTACCTCTAAAATGCGTACAATTGTTTACTTTCCCAAAAAAATATGAGCATTAATATTGTATACGTACATGGATACATAATTAGTTTCCTCTGATTTGAAGAGTTTTGGGTTCACAAACTATTACTGTCGGATTAGTAGTATGTTTGCTTATGTGTGTTATTTACAACAAAACAAGAAAGTTTTGCTAAAACTAAGCAAAGATTATCAGCAATTTATATTATTATCATTTAGAATTATGCAGTCAGTCAGATTGGTTTAGAGCGTGTCACGTGCAGGGAGACAATATGAGATGTATCCCTCACGCGCAGGGTAACAATTGTGTTGTCTCTCTTCAGATGACAATGAAAAAGCTTGAGCTATATGGTTTTACTTGTTGCTTTGAAATATGCAGCATTGCAATGGACATACCAATCGTCACGCAAAATTAATTGGTAAATTACTTTCTTGAAATATACAATGGATATCCTATAGTCAAACCTTTCTATCACATGTGACGAAAAAAAGTTAATAGATACGAATTTATTTTCTATAGGTACATTGCAATGTACCTAAAATGAAAAACTTAAAATGATTGATTGTCTTTCAGATTATTTGTCAATCCATTGTATTGTGGAATACTGTTGGAGCAAAATTTGGTTTTGAACAGAAAACGCAGTCATCTGCAAATTATCAAAAGGAAAAAAGATGCAGGTACTCAGGAAAAGGACAATGATCACAAGAAAAATAGAAGTGAGGATGAAAACATAGTATATATGTAAGTTGTTTGATACACATTTGAATTATTAACCTTTGTGTGCATGATTTTAGAGAATCAAAATCATGAAGGAGAAGAAAAAAAAAAATTGTCTTTGAATTAGCACTGTCTTCATATTTTACATAAAAAATGAGTACTGAAATAAAGATATCCATTCAAAGGTTGCAAAAACAAGTTAAAGAAGACGAGAAAGGAGATGAACAATTCCCTCTTCAAACTCCCCCGTTTGTCTACGCATGCGCTACCATGTGGCATGAAAATCGCCTAGAGATGGTTCAACTTCTGAAGTCAATATTTAGGTACATGTAAGCAACAAAGATATTAGTTTTATAGAATCTTTTTTCACAGTATATACATTTTGCACCGGATGAAACTATATCCTTTAATCTGGAAGTTAACTTAAAGGTCTTAAAAGATGACTGAGAGATAAACTCTGCCATTCAGTCACCTTTAAGTCAGCTGTCAGTTAACTGAATGGCGTAATTTCACCCTTTACATGATGTGTATAACACGTCAATTTCATTACAGAATGGATGAAGACCAGTTTCTTAGGGAGAAAGAATATGAAATATCGAGTGACAACCGATATCCACATGATTATTACAAGTTTGAAGGTAGTTATAATTATTAAGTTTATCAGAAGCAATTTTAATTTTAGCTATTTTATATATGTATATATTTTCCTTTCAATAACAAGTCAATGTCCGAAACTTCCGGAAAAGTTTAGTTTGCTAGCAGACAATTCAACCATCTTATGTAAAAAAAAAAAAAAAATCTTCGAATATATCGTTTTTAGCTCACATCCTCTTCGATGATGCGTTTTGCAAAGGAAATCTTAACGAATTTGTAGAAACATTTGCTTCAGTCATGAACGAGGCTGCAAGGTAAGGAAAAATCTGTATTATTCCTCTCCTTAAGAAATATTCCATTTTAGAATGTACAGGGTTTTTTTATCAATTATTCTCAAAACTGAATCGTACTAGTGCGTTAAAGAAAAACCCACATTGAAATTGTTCTTTTCATATTGTTCGGAATTAATTATGAAACAATCACATTACATGGTATTGCATTTTGCAAGTATTAAACATTCTTTCTCATGAAAACGATTGATTGATTGATTGTATGTTGTTTAACGTCCCGTTTGAGATTTTTTCATTCAAAAAGAGACGTCAATGTATGCCGGTGAAGGGCTTCCAATTTAGACCTATACTCGGCACTCAGGGCCATTGAGTAGTGAGGGTTCTTTATCGTACCAACGCCTACCGTAACACGGGACCTCAGTTTTTAAGGTCTCATACCAAAGATCCTTGACTTTCACTTCTAGTGCCGGGCGTTTGGCGAAGGAACAGTCACCACCCGGGCCTCCCGATCACGAAGCAAGCGCCCTACCACTACGCTACGTGACCGGTCTCAGGAAAACGAATAGCATGTCTAAATGTGTTAACTCGTTTTTTCCATTTTTAAAGTTGCTTATTATTTCATGCTCATTAGAAATTCACAACAATCAAATTCATTATTTTTTTTCTTCCAGTTCTGTGCATTCTCAACCAATACAACTAGAAAAGCCAGTTATTATTTCCACTTACTATGGAGGACAGGTTATCTTTAGAATGCCGGGAGAAAATTTCCTGTACATTCACCTTAAAGATAAAACAAAAATTCGTCATAAGAAAAGATGGTCTCAGGTGATCTCTTTTATTAACAAACATTTAGCATGCATTGTAGGGACAATGAAAACATAAATATTTTTCCTCTCAGATCTTGAAGTTTAACCCTCTTCCCCGCAGTCTCGCATTTTAACGCATATACCATTTCCTATTTCTAACGCAAAATCACGCATATACCGTTTCCCCGCAATCACGCATTTTCACGCACTTTCAAAAGTAAAATTTAATCGTCAATTTAATGCCAATTCCCTTCTTATTTGTACTTGCTAAAACTTCATAAAATAAGAAATGTTATAATGTTATTAAATTATTACGTCATAATTATTTACGCTAAACTTTAGAGAAACTTGTACCTCGCTATAAATTGCTTGCGGAGAAAAGGTAACGTCATATTTCTATGACGTGAACATTAAGTGTATGTTGCGTCACAGTTCAGTAAGTTGTAAAGAGTTAATATTAAATATTTAAAAGAACGACTACCCAAATAAAGATTTTATGTATATATTTTTTTTTTGGTTGTAAATAATAGGTGATGTACATGTATTATTTATTGGGATACCGGCTAACAACCGAAATACGAAATGAAATAGAAAAGAATGCAAAGAAGAAAAAAGATCCTGAAAACATTGATGACTATTTTAAGAAAAAGGTATGAATATAGAATTGACGGGAAAATATAATTGAAAGAAAAATTTTGATGCAATCCATATCACCTCTACCTTATATTTTGGGCCATCAATAATGCATGTACTAATTACATGAAATTTCAGTTGTAACCATTACGGATTTTTTGTGAATCATTCGTACTTACTGTAAAATGTTCACACGTCAAGCTAATAAAATGAATCCTTAATTGCTAGAACAAGAGCAATGCAATTGTATGTAGAGGATATCTTTTAAGGAGGTTGGATCCTGCCATCAAAAGTAATGAGAATTTTTTATCAAGTATATTTTTAGAATTTATACAAATAGCTTAATTAAAAATCAAAACAAAAAATGGGGGTCAATGCGCTTCTTTTGGCGCTGCAGAGCATTTAGTTTGACCTTTTTGCACTGTAAATACGTCTTGCACATCAATCAATTTTTAAAGTTTTTCCTCCAATATTTTTTATTCAAATAAATTATGGGAACAAACACAGCCTTATTTCATCTCGAATAGACACATTAAAATTTGTGACAACAAAAACATTTTCAAATTACTCCGCATGTTCAATTATTTGACCTTTTTGCACTCAAAAAATTTCATTTTTCTGGCATTAAAATTTAACAAGCAAAAAAATCATTTGAAAGTAATGACATTTTACTGAATTTAAGAAGAATGGTTAAAAGTATCTTATTTATTCAGAAAATAAAATAAAAAGTGGGGGTCTGTGATGTTAATTTTTAGATATTACTAAAATAGTGCTAATTTTAAGCTTAAAGTAGGGATTTTTTTTTTCTTGATTTTCACAATATATTTGCTATATTTATGAAATACGATGATAGAATTTTTGACAGTTTATTTGATATATAATTTAGGACCAATATAAAACAGTTCACTGCACAAAATAACTCTGTGTGCAGGCTGCATGGAAAAGTAGGAATCCAAACTTAACATACTTTAAATACTTCGAAAGAGAAAAAATGATCATTTTCTTCTAAAAAACCTTCCGCCACAAAATATAGTTCCTCACTTAATGCTTTTGGTAGGGAATTTAATCATGGAGTTTTAACTGAATATAGTTTAATTGACATTGTAGAATCCAAATTTATTGTAAGAATTAAAACTTTATGCAGAATTTTTGAGATATAAATTAAAGATATCAATCTGCTCAAAAGCTCAGGAGCGAACCTCGTTAAATATAATATTTTTAAATAATATAAAATTATGAAAATTCTTTAAAAACATATATTTTTTCTGATGCATTGTTTGATTTTATGTAAAAAAATAATGGCATCAAATTTTCAAAGGCAGAGAACACATTTCTTCTTGCTTTGGATGGAGACGTAGATTTTACTCCTGGTTCTGTCAGAATTCTCATCGATCGAATGAGAAAGGATGAAAAAGCTGGTGCTGCATGTGGAAGAATTCATCCAATAGGCAGTGGTAATTGATCTATCCTTGTTTTCAGTTTAAAGAATTAGTGTATTTTACACTAAAATTGTTGTACCTCATATCAATCTGTCTTGTATTACATAGGCCCGATTGTCTGGTATCAGAAATTTGAATACGCAGTGGCACATTGGCTTCAGAAAGCTACGGAGCATGTACTTGGATGCGTTCTTTGTTCCCCTGGGTGTTTTAGTCTTTTCCGTGGATCAGCGCTAATGGATGATAATGTTATGAAAAAATACACCTTACTACCATCGGAAGCATCTCAGATCCTAATGTACGATTTAGGTAAGTTTGAATGGAAACATTTAATTATATTTTAAAGTATTGAATAATATAATATTACTATTAAAATAAAATTAATCATAATAACTGCATGTATACATTTCAGTTCAGGAAACTACATATACATTAAATGCAGAATAGAATTGTCTTCAACATAATGGTATATTTTAATGTTTGTGCAAAATTGAAAATTTTCGTAATGCTGAATTGTGTCAGTAAAAATACAATTAGACAGTGATTTACGTCCCTTGGAATGAAATCATTGCTTTCACGCACATTTACCAAATTCAGCAGTGTTCACTCCATTTTTCTTGACTCTAGGGGAAGATCGCTGGCTCTGCACGCTGCTTCTACAACAGGGGTACAGGGTAGATTATGCTGCCGGTGCTGATGCCTACACTTATGCTCCAGAGAGCTTTAATGAATATTTCAACCAAAGAAAAAGATGGACGCCTTCCACCCTGGCCAATATAATGGCTCTACTACAAGATGGGAAAAATACAGTAGAGGCGAATTCAAATATAAGTTGGCTGTACATAGCTTATCAAGGTTTGTTTGACTCCTTTGCTAAAGATTTGTTTCAATACTTGACAATTAAAAATTAAAAATGTACCTTTCATGTGTTATATGCACATGCGTTTATTCATTATTTTTAATTGTATACTGTAAAAAGGTTATTTTCGCCCTTTTACACTCGCAAACAATTTTGTCCCGCTTTAAATTCGCCCAGTTACAGCTCTGTTTAAGAAATTCTACTGTGAATTTGAATTCGCCCCGTTTTAAATTCGCCCACCTGTGAGTTGGGCGAAAGGGGCGAAAATAAAACAGGGATGAAAATTCCCCTGTATACAGTAACTGTTTGTGAGGTTTTCCTTTATGTCAGCCATTCATTTTTTTTCCTGATACACTACAGCTTTCTGTAGTGTATCTTTGATAGAACTAACCTATTATATCAAGAGTAGCAAGAAATAAAAAAAGGTATTTATTATTTACAAATTCATGTGCTTACATGGCCTTTAATGAACACAACAATTACTGTAATGTTTTAAAGCAATTAAAAAAAATATTGCAAGAAAACTAAATCACATTTCACTACTCACATAGTCACTCAAGGCTTCAAATGAAATGCACAAGTGTGAAAGGCTGATTCTGGCTTTAAAATACATGTATTTGGAAGCCCAGCATTTTGACTTTCGGATCCAAGTTCAGGAACGCCCCTTGTTACCACACAGTGTGACACCAGAATCAAATTTTCATTTCTGAGATTTTTAGACTCACTCATTTTGAGCACTCTCGTTTTAAATTTCATTTTTTTTTATGTTTGGCGGACTCAAAACTTCAGAAACATGCTCTTGCAGTACTGAATTAGATAATGTGTATTTTCTGACTGCTGTTTCTGACCTGTGACCTCTCCGAGACATGATTTCCTGCTCGTCGATCCCAGCATGATATAACTGAGTAGCACACGTCCTGTTGCCGGAGGGGTTAGTAAAGTTTCCCTCCAGTCCCGCGTTACTTGTGATTTCCTTCATAAGCCTCGAGCTCTTTCATTTGTGAACTCCCAGTACTTGTTCACCATATCACATATGGACAATACCTGAAACAGTCAAGGGCCGGCCGTAGAAAGGTCCCTCATTACTAAGGGCGTCAAGAAATCGTTATAAAACGTTAGAAACCGGCAAGACACCGTTGACCTGAAATCAAAACGTTTAATGTTTTATTCTATATATTCTTTTGTTCATCAATTATATAATACGAAAACCTGTGTAGAGTACTATTATAAATTTTACTAAAAAGGACAATTTACCGTCTTCGTTAGCTGCAAATGTTTCAGTCCTTCTTTGTATGTTTTAGATGGTCTGCCCGTAAATCAAATAAATTTTCCTTTCTCATCTTCTCCGATTTCAAACTGCGAACACTCTAAATTTTTGTGTTAGTCAAAGGCTCCCAGACCAAATGTCTTACAGTTATAGAAAAAAAAAACTGTGCACTGCAGAACTTGAGAAAGGTGCGACCTGAATACTTCACAAGTCCAGATTTTTTTCGTCGTCTTCCTGCAATGTTGGATCAGTTTGTCTCATTTTGTTCCCTTAGCTCTTTGATAACAATTCTTTTATGCCGCGTCTAAAACTTCATGGAAAACGGCAAAGTGGTGGTCATGTTCATCAAGAAATTTCATACTGTGAACGTTTTTCTGCTTCCAAATGACGCAATAATTCATGAACAATGAAGTAGAAAGTACGGGGGGGGAATATTTATTGTCGTCCTGTTTACGTACCTCCAATAAAAAGCGTTGTAACCAGTAATTCAGCATTTCTGCGTTCATTTCCTTCGTTCAAAGTACATTCTCTCGAGATGCGCGCCATTTATTGAACATTTCAACAGACCATTTCGTATTTCTCCGAGTATTAGGATTTGTCAGAGAGTCAATCAGCTTGCGCAAATCATCATCTGACACTGCGTCAAAAACCCTTTGATCCTGTGACTCGTTAACACATTCAAAACTTCTTTTTTCATCTCACCATCAATTTGATCTAATGAAATCTCCCGCAAGAAAATCCCCAAGTCAAATTTTATAGTCTGAAAGTCCATATATGTAGGATCTTCATCCCCAAGATACCCATCAATAGATTGTGAAATGTTAAGGTTTCCAAACTGACCTTCTTAATATCGGTTTTCGCCGTGTTGAAGAATTGCGATAGCATAAATTCACAACCGTCAACAATGGCGTTCAGACTTGAATGGACGAAGTAGAAAGTTCAAGAAATACAGCGTATGATGAAATTTTGATAAATCATGTCTAAATCAGTGCGTGGGAATGTAATTGAATCATGTGCTATTAACATGAAATTAATAAATCATGGGTAACTCAATACATGAAAATAATGATCTTAAGCATATAGAATACCTTTTAACTCGTGCATCTTCAGATATCGGACTCGGGGGACAAGCCACCTCGTCTGATATCTGAAGATACACTTGTTAAAATGTGCTCCATATATTACTTCAATTTTAGATATAAATGATCAAAGCTCAGTCATCATATAAATTTAAGAAGTTTTTTTTTTCAGGTTCTCTGATGGTTGCAACACTTATTGGTCCAGCAACAATTCTTATGATGATTGCCGGCGCCTTTGTTGCCGTTTTCAGTTTGGATCTTATGATGTCATACGTCACCTCTTTAGTACCGGCTATTACGTATTTCATCATATGTCTCACATTCCGCTTAAACGTTCAACTTGTGGTGGCTCAAATTCTTAGTGGATTTTACGTGTTAATTATGATGGTGGTTTTCGTCGGTGTGATTATCACGGCTGTGACGGAATCTCCGTACCATCCCAGCGTCATTTTCATCATGGGACTGGTTGCTATTTTCGTAATAGCTGCTTTACTTCACCCAAGAGAATGGGGCAATATTATATACGGATTACTTTATTATGTTCTTGTCCCTTCAGGGTTCTTACTTCTAGTCATTTATTCTTTGTGCAATTTGAATGACATTTCATGGGGAACTAGGGAGAGTGGTACAACGAAGGAGAAAGAGAAAGAGAATAAGGGTCTTCTCTACAAAATATTCTCTCCATTTACAAAGATTAAAGATAATTTATTTAAACCGAACCCTTCCGAAAAGGACGTGCTTCTTAAAGTACTTGCGACCATGACAGATATGGTTGGTTTTAGGAAGGATTCTGCATTAACTCATCCTGAAAATGAAAATTTAGGGGAGATTGCTGCAGAGACATCACCACCTCTTGAGACAAATTCTCAGGAACAAACGAAAGGAAGTTCAGAGAAAGTTTTTATGGAGAAGGTATACAATTATATAATTATATGAACATGTCGAAAAAAGTATGGAAATTATAGACACATTAACTTTATATAACGTTTATTTTAAAAATACATATGCCATTTTTCTGAAAATAAGATTCAAACATGAATGTTAAATGGAAGATATGATTAAATAAACATGCTCAGATATTCCGTCTAGAAAGCACTGTTTATTTATGCAGATGTTTAACAACGAAGAACCTAAGTGGGTAATTAAAGGCCCTTTCTCGGGAAGATATGTTAAAATGAAGGAAAAAGAAAGTGAATTTTGGAAAACATTTGTAGACAGGTACTTAATGTGTTTGCAGTTACATTTAGTGATAATTAATTAAATAGTATCTTGTACTAAAAATTAAATGTTTCCATGTGTTTATCAAGTTTAATAGTTAGTAACACTATTGGAAACCAACAAAGCTAATGTTTAATTATATAAGATGTTCAATGAATTATATTTTTGATTCGATGAAGCACATGATGAAAAGATACAACCTGGGAATAAAAAAGCAGTTTTCATCAGCTTTTTTAAATCAGAACTTTTTTATTACAGATATCTGAAACCTTTAGAAAGAGATCCGGCAAAAGAAAATAAGGTTAAGGAACAGCTGAGGGAGTTGAGAAATAACGTGTGTGGAGGGATGGCTCTTGTTAATTTACTTTGGATTGCTGTAAACTTTATGTTTCAGTTACGAAGCCCTGCAGTAATAAGTTTTAAACTTCCGGTATGGATATTTCCTAGTTTTACAGTCAAATTGAATTTGATAAGCATTATATTTCCTGTACAGTTCTCCATTACAATAAACTGATTTTTTAACATTATTTGAAAACCTTTTTGTTCATGTCCAACATGTCAAAGGTTCAATATTCATAATTTCCTTTGCTTCATCAATATGTTATATAATCATATAAGATTAATTTTTTTTCTGCTGAAAGCAATATTTTTTTCTCGATGCAGATGTATGACTTGAGTGCAAAAACTTCATATTGTAGTATTTTATTTTGGGTGAACATTGTTTCAATAAATTTGACATTAAATTTTAATCATTATCTTGGATAAATAAGTTGCTTTCAATTTCAGATAACCAACGGAGACGACGAAGAGGAGAATTACGAGATGAGAATTGAACTTCTTGGCCTGTTGTTCATTGGCTTCTTTCTTATCATCCTTATGATACAGTTTTGTGGCATGGTTATGCATAGGTAATAATATCGTATCCTGCTATACATCAAGAATTATAGGAATGCTTATACATATGCAAATGCATCCATTTGGCATTTTGGTACAAGTGATAAGATTATTCATTAAAAGAACCAACCCAGAGCTTTTTAATGGCTGTTCGTTTTGTTTCTTTTGATTTGTTTCTTTTGATAGCTTTTCAATTTCATTTCATGGAATTAATTGCCACTCCCTTCAGTGTTTATTTAGAAATCTCCAATTTCTTGCAGATGGGGAACATTTTTGCATCTTGTTGCTATAACGGAACTTCCGAATCCCTTTAAAACAAAAATCAAAACAGATCAACGTTTAGAAATTCGAGAATCATACGAGCATGCAAAAGAGGAAAATCTGGAAATGCAAGAAATACCAGAAGAGGATATTCAGGCGGAAGAAAACGCAGTTTTAAGGCAAATTGAACAATTACAAGAAACAGGTTGGGAAAAAATCTTTACACTGCATATATATTTTTTTAATTCTTTTCGCAAATTGTAAGGAATTTCTCATTTTCATTTTGTGCTAATTGGGAATTGCTTAAAGTTGTTTCTGTTGTGGAACCAAATTTGCTCATAGATTATCTCAAGATTGCCCTCCAAACGAAAAATAAATTCTTTCTCCGTATCCAAAATGTTTCGTCCGTTACTTTAAGAAATTTGTATATTTATCTACAAAAACAATCATTGTATACATCTTGACCTGCAATAAGATTAATCACTTAAAATCAAAAGAATTAAAAAGGTAAAGGTAAACATTATAAATTAGATAAATAAAAACGTAACTTTTAATTCTAAAGATAACTTTAATCTTGATGTCAATTTTAAAAATAACTTTAATCTTGATATACACATAGGTACCAGATATCATAACGATTCTTCACCGGAAACCAGTTTACCAAAACCAAAACGGAAGTCCATTGACTACAAGCCGATCAACACTCGTGAATTATTCCAACGTTACAGGCAAAATACACACCACCGTATCAAAGCCAACGACGACCGAACACGGTATAGAAGAAATGAAAGAAATTTGCATCAGCGATCAGTTTTCAGTGAAGTAACGAATTACAATCAGCGGTATGGCTACAACCATAATAGATGGACAGATAGAAGAATGGATACTTCCAATCAAAGAGATGAAGTCAGCAGGGAAAGAGATAGAAGGCGGGATTTTCATTTAAGAGGGGGACTGATGGGAAGAACTTTTTCAAGATCTTTACTGAAGTATCAAAACGAAGACTATAATGAATACAAAGACTAGTGATACATGTAACAAATGCTAACAACCACACAAACAAACATAATCATCTTGGAAGGTCCCTTCCTACAAGATCATTCTGCTGAAGATGTGATGTGTTTTTTTTTTTCTCCAATTTTTTTTGTACAATTAATATATATGAAGAAACTAAGTGAAAGAATTGAAGGAATTGATTTTTCCCATAATTTTCTCGATTTTTTTTTTTGGTACCAATATGGCAGGGAGTAAATGTTTAGAGAAAATTGTACATTGATGTGCAAAATATCTTTAAGATTGTATTATAACATGCAGAGCTCAATCAATTCATTCCATAAAAATATTTTGTCTGATAAATTGAGAAAAGGATAAACTCTTTCTAAAAAAAATTATGCAATGTGTTCATATTAACAGAACTATTTCATTTGTATTTTATATAACCAAAAGATCAAGACTTGTTTTTAAGCCCAGGTGGAAATGAAGTGTAAGCAGAGAACAGCAGGTGGTCTGGGAGCGGAGCCGCCATGAGGCCCCCAGTAGGTCTAGGGCGAAACCCGCGGAAGCTCCTGAGTTTTACCAAATATTTCAATCATTTTCTTGCAGGAAATATCATGCTGTTTCGCTTTTCTTTAGAAATAAAAGACTTAGTAATATTGTTTTTAACGCAATGTGTACTTCCACGGAAACATTTCTACTTGTACTTGAGGCTGGATATTTTACCGATATATTGGTATCATCTGCACTTCTTTTATATTTTTTTTAGCAAGTTCAGCAACAAATGTAATAAATGTTAGTTAAAGAAAATATTGTATTTTAAATCATATACTATTTCATCAAGCCATTCAACGATATGATTATTATTTAATTTCTCTAATATCTTTAATAATTGTCAATCCGTTATAGAACACTTACAAACTAATGAATGATTTATTTGGATTTGGCAATGATTTATTAACGGATTTCAAATTTGATTGTATAAACATGATAATGAAAAATTTTATTCGAATTAATATGAGAAAAAAAAATAATTTGAAACAAAAATATTTTCTGGATGATATTGAGATTTTCTTTCTCTGAATAACTCTCTCTCTCTCTCTCTCTCTCTCTCTCTCTCTCTCTCGTAGTTTTTTTTTTTTTTTTTTTTTTTTTTTTTTTTTTTTTTTTTTTTTGAAAATGATGTGTACGCACTTGCGTACTTGCGTATAGGCAGCTACGCACCTGTAAGCATTGCTTAGTAATATATAACTAGCTAAAATCATTCGTAATAATTCTTAAAGTCTCAAAAATGGTGCACCCGAATCTCATATATTTTGATGCAGAATAAAAGGAAAATAGAATATTTTAGGTCACCAAATTTGTATTTTATTTCTAAGGAAATTGTTCTAAGAAATCCTTATGATGAATTTTAAATATCCAGGCGATGAAGCTGGAAAATGACATTTTATGGAATATTTAAAAGATTACTAATACTAAAGAATTGGGTACGTTAAGTATAACAGAGCGGCCCTGTCTCCAAATTTGATTTCAGTTTTTTTACAAACATTCCTACGATGTGTCTTTTCAAAATCATTTTATTTTTTTTAATTATCACAAACCGTTTTTCCATCAGAGGTCTCGAAATATGGGGAGTTTTCTTTAGAAATTACAAATTTTGACGTGATAACGTCATCACGGCGTTACTGATTTTAACGTTACGTGAAAAAAAATCTGTAAAAACTATTTACTTTAACCTGCCTTATGTTCCAGAAAACAATTTTGAACTTTTTTTTTTAATTCATCGTAATGTATCTTTGAAAGCTGGAAGGAGTAAAATAATTTAAAGGAAATATAATTTTATTACAAACGATTTCATCAGACAAGTAATGAAGCTTGATTCATCCATACAAACGAGACAAGGTAGTACTTCTTTTAAAATTGTGCTTGTATCAAATTTATAATTTTTTTTATGTAAAAATGTCCTAATGATTTCTTCAATCATTTTCCACATTGTCTATGAAGTTACATTAGAATTTTTAAAGATACATGAATCAGTATTAAAAAGAAAATTAGAACGACCCATATAAAGTTGTCAAAATTGGATTTTTGGCAATGAAAAAGCCATCAACATCACTCCCCTTTTCCATATTAACATATGGCAGCGCTATTAATTTGGTATTTTCTTCTTCTTTTTTTTGGATAAACGTATAAATTACTCACCATTACGGGGTTACGAGGTGTCTTAAACTGCGTTAAAAAAAATTTCTCTGATGTTAGGATTTCTTTTATAGATCGTTATTTATTCATTCCAGTGGATCCGCTTTACTGCACGGTTCATGTAAAATACCCTAACTAGGAACAATCCCCAATATACTTACACACAATCACTTTCTATGTTAAAACCAAAAGAGGAGACCGGTTATAAGAGTCCTGATTGATGAGGCCATTCCAAGTTTTTTTCTTTGTTAGCATCCATCCTAACCTATCTTCCTATCCGAGAAAACACACAAACCGAAAGGGGTAAAACGCAGCATTTCAGAACAGTTCTAGAATTTCTTATTATCATTTGAGACCTCTCCTCGCCATAAAACTTAGTTAAACTACTAGTTTATTGAAATAAAAAAAATTAATACACCACTTAAAAAAGAGAGATGTCAATCCCAAAAGAGTAAAATGCATTTCAGAAATTCGTATTTGTTGATTTTAATTTGAGTTAACTTTGTGTTTGCGTTTCAAAGCTTTGTATTTGTCAATTTTAATTTGTGTTGTTTTTAATTTCATAACTTCAAAACCAATTCGTCCGCGTTCACTGCACATAAAAAAAAAATTGGAATGGCCTTATCATAACTTGCGTTACAGACCTTGAAAAATTTTGCTTCAAATAAAACCCGTGAATCTCCGAAGGCTTAAAAAAGGTGTGCGATTTGTTTAGATCAATTTTTCGATGAACAAAATATTTTATATAGCCAATGCTAATAATTTAATTTTAGAGACAAACACATTACTTTGCATGTACATACTCATTACTTGATTCACAAAATCGAAAATTATATGCCTAAATCTGCGAAGTGAATTCGACAGGAAATGCACACGAATTCTCGGGAAGGGATTCAGAAGCCTGTAGTACACTCTAACGGGCATAATTCCAAAACTAAAAGTTATAAAAATAAGGATATAATATTATATGTATGATTTGCGTATAGAGTTTATCCGCATCAGCTATGAAAATATGCGCATGTCGTCTTCAAAGCAATGCAGCATGAAACAGCAGGCACTTGCATTGATATCGATCAGTAAAAGATTGATCAACGATCACAGTCCAGTGGGTAGCCAAAGGAAATTGGAAAGGAATGTATTTAGTTTTAAATCAAATTCTTGATATATATTTTTTTAATTGGTACTCATTGTATAATTTGATTATCAGTAAGCCCCCCCCCCCCCCCTTCTATTTACATAGAGACAAAATACAAATAATTGAAATGCAGAATAACAGAACACTCACATAGAAGAATCAAAATTCTCTTTTAACGACAAAAAATGACCCCACAGCCGTAGAAAAAATTAATTTTTTGTAGAAAAAGAGCCCTAGGGGTCATATTTTTATATGCGCGTCCTATAAAAAATTTATCCCCGTTGGAAAATGACCCCTTTTCCAACAGATACACAATTTATAACAGGTGATTGACGTCAAGGTTTAATTCTTCTTTATGCCCTTTTTGATCAACACTGGACGAAAGCGCAATTAAAATGCAATAAAACAGCATTACATTTACATGCATGTTTCTATCTTTTAAGCCTTTTGTGTCTCAGCGCATATTGAAAATCGCAAAATGGCTACTATTGGTTATAACTCTTAACGTAATCTCTCTTTATGACTGTCTTCCATTTGTTTCATATTTGGATATTTGACTGATTATAGACATTCATACATGTAGCTTAATAACAGACAAGTGGGATGTTCTAGCTTTTCAATAGTAAACATGTCTCTAAAAGTATTCAGCATGCTTTGAGTACGATCAACTTTATTTTGTAAAAAGCGAATGAAAAAAAAAATGAATGAGATAGGTTTTCGGAAATAAATACGAGAAGTTATGCAATGTAATATTTATATATATTTTTTTTAATGACATAAAGGGTGTGTAAATGAGGTAGAATGTATCTCAAATGACATAATATCTCGTGCGAACGACATCATTTTCCTAATGGAAAAAGGTGAAGATAACAAACAGTGATGATTTTAAAATATCCACAAACAATACAATTCTGTTAACAGGGCATAAAAAGGACCCCAGAAAATTGCAGAGGTAAGATCAGGTGCCTAGAAAGAGTAAGCATCCTCTGTTGACCCGTCACGCCTGCCGTGAGCCCTATAAATAAGTCAGGGGACATTCCGTTGTCGAATTTAAGTATAGAAAAAAAGGCCAAACAATTGACCGAATTATAGGTTATATTTGTTGACAGGGTCATTGATACGACCATTGAATTTACGAAATGCTGACTTTAAACGAGGTTGTTGAAACCCCTGGAACATCAACTTACATGTATCTGTCAGTAGCCTGCCTCGATTAAAAATTTATCTTGTTCTTGTGTATCGAATAATTTGGTAGACGTTAACATCATATGCAAATGATAGCGGAATATTACTACATAAATAAGTAAAGTTGAAGATGGAAAAAGCTGAAGTCATCCCGCTTGTTAGACAATTTAGTTGTAAGTTGGTCTTTAGCGTCTGTAGTCAGTAGGACGTCCAAATATAAAGCAGACGTGGCAAACATAAAAAGGACATAAAATTTCTGCATGTCTGAAATATATACAGTAGCATAATGTGCATTCAATTTTATTTATAAACAGTGGTCTATGGGAATTTCTTTTCAAATATATAGATGTAATAAAGAAGGATCCCAGTATAATGTACATATGTACATTCAAATCTGTTAGCATGGTCGTCTGAGAATAGGATACATACATGTAAGAGGAATAATTTTCTTTAGAAATCCACTTTAAAACAGTGATACATGTACATTTGTCAAATAAATATGGAAAGATGTCAATACAGTGTTTATTGAAGTAGATAAATGTTTTTAATTTATCGTTGAAGACAGACCATTTAATTGACCTTCCAGGTGAATATAAGGACTTATTTTTCCTACATTGAACTAAATGGATTGAAAACAACTCTGAAAAGTTATTTCATCTGCATCCGAATTCCACTCAAGTTAACGTAATATTCAGGCTCAAAGAATCGGAGAAGGGGTGGGGAATTGCTCACCCCTCCTTTTTCTGAATGTAAATTTTAGCAATTTCTAGTTTGAAAATGTTCATTGAAAGTCTTGTAAACACACCCTCTTTTCATACAGAATAGTTAAAAAATCTCTCCTACTTGAGTGGACATGGTGAACATAACATTCAGGCATATAGAATCAGGGGTGGGGTAGAGTACCCCCCCCCCTTCCATTTTCATGAACGCCATTTTTCATTTTTTCACTTCAAAATAATCATTGCAAGTCTGGTTGCGCTATCCAAAAATTTTTGATACAGTAGAGTAAAATGAAATCCCCTTTACATCAATAGACTTTTTAAGGGGTTCATCAAAGATATTTTTTGGGTAACTTGTCATTTCGCCTCTTATAATGCCCCATTTCCCCTTTCGATGCTATCCCTGACATTTATTTTTTCTACATTGCACCAAAACTAGATTTCCAAATTCAAAATTAATACTGGTTATGCTTATTATGTTAACTCTGTCAGTACGATGATTTTCACCATCAAAAAAAAAACAAACAAACAAAAAAACAATGTTCACCTCGGCCTTTGGGCTCGATAAATCTTTTAATTTTCTAGATTCTGAATCATCGCATTAATCTTAAAAACAGCAATAATTGTACAAAGTCATGAAATCAACATATCATCGATTTATTCCCAATTTAGCTCAGGTGAGCATTTTGGTCAACAGGTCTCTTGGTTTATTATTTTTATTTTGCCCCCTAAAAATGTTTTGAACGTTATATAAATAAAAGGGCACGTGAGTTGAGAAAAATTTATTCCTATTTCACACACAGGGAAACCTTAACAGTTAATTGATACAATTGATAGAATGCAATCGAGCGTTTAATTTTTGCCGATTTTACAGGGCCGTAAATGGGTCTAAACGTACCCAGCTCTTTATTTTCAAAATCCTTCTATGATATTATACTCAAGTACAGTTTCCACTGTTTCGGGACGAATATAATATAATTAAATTTGTTTAGCATTTAATTCTTTTATTTGAATGTTTTATGTTGTTCAACAGTACCTGACCTTCAATGCAATGAAATTCAACGCACTAGTGAAGTATCATAATTTTCGAGCACATCTTGTAGAGGCTGAGTAGGAAACGAATTATAAATGTGTTAACATATTTTTATGATGAGGATGACAACATGGTTTGATTAAGACATGGCGGAAATGACGACTAATGACTACTAGAGAACAAAATGAGAACAAACGATTTATTAAAAGAACATAGAAAAGAAACTACTATACATACAAGATCCTTCAAACTAAAGCACAAATGATATCACATATTAACAATTAATTATGACGTAGTTTGTGTACTGGAAAGAATAATTACCATTGCAGTATTAATAAGTAAAATTGCAAACAAAAATGTAAACAAAATTAGAGACATAACTCTAGATTAAAACAGATCATAATAGGTAAACAAATGAAGTTATCTCCCATAATTTATAAATGTGCTCGTATTCAGTAATAAATGTCAATAATACATGTAACACTTTAATTTCATTACTTCGTTATTGCATTATATATAATAATACTTGAATATAAATGCACAAGTAATTAAAATATATATATATTATCAACAAGTTCGTGGACTTGACAAATAAAATTAATACTATGAAGTCTGTGCTTACAAAATTTATGAGGAACATAAAACAGCAAAAGGTTAAGAAATGTTGAAAATTTTACCTTGATACGTTGATAATTTGCCAAAATATAAAATTTAAAAAAAAAAAAAAACATTATATGATCACCTGGCGCTGTCGCCGTTAGTTTCATGACATCCGACAACGTCATTGGATCTCAATGTCCGCTTCCTCTATACATATGATCCATACATAGGGAAAGATTCTCATTTGATTAGGCATATTTTGCTTGTCGGAGTTTAATATCTATTACACATGATCAACGTCTCTTTTCTATGTAGCAGATTTTTGACACATTGAATACAAATCGACATTAACTGTGCATCTCTCTGAATCTTTAAGGCAATTAAAAACAAGTACTCTCTGTCAATTTTATTTCTCTTTTGTCCTTTTTAACATTTCTTAGGTCTATATATTTGTTTTTCTAGGAGCGACACTTTATAGAATGTAGGAAAAAGACCCCCCCCCCCCTTTTTTGACGTCATTTCCAAGTCCAAAATTGTTTGGAGCCTCCATGTAAAATTTAGGAAAAAATTTCATAGAACTAACAGAATGAGTTAAAATTGCAGATGTTACGGAACATGTGTGTCATACAACATGCCTGAATTTAAGGGATTTTTGGATGACAAATACTCGTATAAAAAGAGTTTTTCTAAGGTACACTCGGGTAGAAAAAACGTCATGTTCGAGGCTGCACCGCCTAGACGTAACATTGCTTACAAAAACTTTATCAATTTATTAAAAAGTAAAACTTATGACATATGGTTTACTTTATAATTAGAGAAAAATATGACGCTTGCTAAATGTGTAAAACTTCATTGATGTACCTTAAGCAGTTTTAATTTTATGGCGCTATCCACGATTTTTTTTAAACCCCTCGTAAACTGAACTTAATAAGTATGCAAAGTTTAGCGAAACATAAATGTACACTTTATATACCTAAACGATAAACAATAAGACAAACACCAGTTAAGAAGAAAACACACCAAAAAAAGAATCAGATTAAACCTGATTTGAAAACTAGTTTCTTTTTCTGCAGGTACGCTGTACGGTACTTGACACCTGGGTTGCCCTGCCATCATATCACGGGCTCTACACATATAATATTTATGCCCCCAAAATGATGACATTATGCATCACGACGCTAGTGATAACACTATTTAACGAAATGGTCATAAGAATTAATATATATCGGACTGAATCGTATAATAATAATCGAAAGTTAACTCTAGAACTCCCGATCCTAGGGCAGTATTCCTCATCACTGCTTGCCCCGATTATATGTTGTTCATAAAAACATTAACTTTTTTCCTAATTTGCAAAGAATCTGAAGGAAAAATATTTGGAAATGTGAATATATATGATATAATCTTTATTTCATATTTAATAAACCTAAACATGCAAGAAAAAAAATAGTCTGATGAAACCAACAAAAATCAGGCTTTTCCTCAAGCATATTTTGGCAAGAAGAAAATGCGAATAACTTTTAGGAAAATAAACTTTTATGACGTTTTTAGGAAGTTCTATTCAACACTTGCGTTAAAAAATAAAATTCCGTATTCCTTATGAGGGTAGACATCTTCATGGAAACACATTAAAGACTGAATCGAAAGACGCTTTGTAGGAATATCTCTTCATAGGATTATGAGAGTTCATTGTGACCACCCTGCTGTACCGGGAACCATCGGCAGATCTAAATAAGAGGGGAAAAGATAGATTGCTTCAAGAATATTTTCGATAAAATAAAGGAATACTCAAAAAAAAATATTTCTAAACATGATTAACAAGAGATCCTTTTGCCAGAACTCTTATCTGAGTCCTATTGGCCTTACTGTGTTCATCATTGAAAGATTAAAAACAATATATACATTTTCAAACTTATTTTATTTGAAAAACTCGAAAATCACTTATTATTGTGTTACCTCTTTACCCCATATATCTTATTTACTTATTTTGATATACATGTACTTACCTTGTTCTCAGATATATCGTTTCTTTTCCCACAATTATCAAATTAGATGTTAACAATGACCATGTTTGTTTATTGTCCACGCTGAATTCTACAGTCATCCCAGGCAGTGCTGTGTTGACTATGATGGCATCGTTCACAATTCTAGGGAAAAATTATAATTTGCTTAATCAATTCTTCAAAACTTTAAATTTTATATGGTTATATTTTACCTTGCTCCAGGAACAGGTATTCTATATTTTATTCCCATTTTCTCCAATCGTAGCAATTCCTTCTGAACTAGGGCTTTGGCAAATGATGACCACTCCTGATCTGTCTTCTTGTTCCGCCCATCCTGGTTTTGAATCCCTTCCCAATGTGGCTGATGCCACGCCCGCTCTGCCACAGCAAGAATACGGGGAAAAATCATTTCATGTAGTTCCTGTATAGTTCTCGTGGTTTCCGTCCACACCTGGGCTTGCACACCTGCCAGTATCGACAATAAAATTTGCTGAGATTGCATACATTTCAGTAAATATAAAAAATGATAGTAATTAAAGGAATATCTTTAACTTTTTGCAATGAAAGGTCATTTTCTGGTAAATCTTAACTTTCTGCACTAGAAGATCTTTTTTTTTTTTTTTTTTTTTTTTGCTATGAATCTTTTACATTTTCACTGATCATGAGAGTAAATTGTTTGTTTATATGATGTAAAGCAAATTATATGATTCCTAAGAAAATTCTTATCCAGTCACAAGATGTGTAACACATAATTCGATGTAATGCAATATTTATTTTACCAGTAAGTATTTTTCTCTTAATCTAACCAGAGACATCAATACATTATTTATGACTTGATCCAATCAAAATGTAAATATCAGTTTTGGATTTTCATTGAACCCTTCTACGTTTCGGAACATTTTCATTTTCAGCGTAGCAAGACTTTTTGGAAGGAAGGACCCTAAATTAAATTAATCTATATCTTTTTATTGATAAGAATACAAGGATTCTAGATTTTAAAAAGGAAACATGCAAAAGGCACAATAAAATATGTAAACCTATCAACAAAATAGAGAAAAATAGAATAAAAAGGCCAAGGCACTCAATGCACTGATATACAAACCAATAATGTTGCTTGGTTCTTTTAAGTCTGTACACGTTCCATTGCTTGGGCATATTTGGTTACGTGTGAGAAGATGTCCATTTCCATCTTTATCCGCATTATAATAGATGTTTGAAGGAACAAACCCAAAGACCTTTCGAGTGTCTATAAATCGTGATGCCCAAGATGCTCCTCGTTCTTCTGGATCGGGCTCTTGGGTATGATCAAAATAAAGATGCGTGGCATGTCCCATCACAACCTTCAGTATAAAATACACATGTAAACATATTAGAATTTAACAAACTTACTCATCATTTTACATTTATATTCTTCCTTCCAGTAATAAAACAAAAGATTCACTGGACAAGTATATCTTACGTCATTTGTCTAAAAATTAACGTTTTCTTCCAGAAGAGTTTTTAATTTGAAACTTTCAGAAAAGATAATTCATATAGCTAGCATTATAACTTTGTCTTAGGAACTCATTTTTGTTACTAAAAAACTACAATATAAACTAATTACTTTTTCAATACATTTGGCCAGATTTTAAAACAGGGCAATAATGAAAAAGGCATATATATCATCAGGGTTATATACCTTATACCCAGCATTTGCCATCTTGTAGGTACTCTCGCCCTGTCCCCACTCCCAAATATTATTCCAGTTGTAAGCTGTCACATTTCTACAAGAGCAATGGAAAAATCTCCTTAATGAAAGAAATAAAATGAATTCCTTTTGCTTTTATGCAGTAAAATGTAACAGAATAGTGATGTTAAAAAAATATACAGAAATTTCATTTATTATGCAGTAAATGAAACTGTTCGTATAATTATCATATAGATATGTACACAGATAAAATCAAGATTCGAATTTTGATGGTTAAAAGCACTCCTACCTATCGGTTGGCAAATCTGTGAGATTCATGCGATCATCGTTATCTGTAAACATTTCTTCCCAAGCACCAGTGCTTAATCCTTCTTTATGCAGGATCTGCACAAGTTGTTTCACAAAGTATTTCCTGAGCTCTCTGTCGTTACTTACACCACGTCTAGCAAGGAGCGCTTGACATTCTGGGGAATCTTTCCACACATCTGCCATGCCATCTCCTAAACACAGTTATATTTCAACTGACAGTACTAGTTAAAGTCTTAAGGAGCTAAAGACTAAGAGAGTGAAAGAAAGTTAAGTACTTGTCATAGTTAAATGAAAAGCATATCTCTCTCTCCCCTCTCTCTCTCTCTCTCTCTCTCTCTCTCTCTCTCTCTGTGTGTGTGTGTGTGTGTGTGTGTGTGTGTGTGTGTGGTATTGGAGTACATGTTGGAAATGGCACAAATTGAAATTTACATAAAATGATAATCATATGGATTAATGCAGTGAAATCTCGTAAGACTGACTATAACTACGGACCATGTACTTGGCCTCCTGTTTTACACAAAGTTAAGTTTCCATTCAAGACTTCTTTAAATGTTAGTGGAAAACACTATATACAATGGACTTATAATACCAACTGATAAAGGTTTACATTTTCTTACCTCCAACATGGATCATCTGAAGAGGTTGCACCCCTTGATGCATTTCTTTCACGGCTTTAATTACGTATTGTATGAATTCCATTGTTGAATTCATACAAACATTTATTGCATTGTCTGCAAACATTTGCATAGTTAAATATTTAGTTTTGGCACCAAAATCCGTCAAAAGGAATTGATAAGCAGCCGACATATTTCCATATTTTGTGTACTTCCAGAATCGAGCCTCCATTGATTTTTTAGCTGCGCGACAGTGAATGGGCAGTGATATTTCAGGTATTACTTCAATATGACGTTCATTTCCAAAGGTTAAGATTTCTCTGTAATCAATGACTGTGTAAAATCCAGAACCAAAACCGTTTTTGGAGGAACCTGATCCTAGTTGGGGAAGTAAACAGTTAGTCTCCCCAGAATCATGACATCGTACAGAACCAATCTGTTAAAACACAAAAAGTAAATTAAAAAAAAAAGAAAAAAAAGAAAAAGAAAAAGTCCTTGTTAACTTAAAGCTGTTTCAAAATCCCTTAAAAAAAGAACTCATTCATTAAAAAATCTAGGTTATAACGGAAACTCCTATGAACTTTGTGGACAAAATGCACTATGTTCCTTACATTGTTATGAAGAATAAGAGCCATGCATCAAGACGAAATAAAAATTTCAAGTCATTGTAACTTCCTTATTCCAAAATGTACTTTATAAACGCACGTATTTTTTTATTAACTCTTACATATAAGGTCATTTATATCTTCTTCTAGAAAATATATAAATATCCACTTATTGAAATAAACAGGGATCTCCATCAAAAATCGTGGCTTTAACATACCTCTGTCAATTCTGGTATCCCTGGAATCTGAAGTCTCCAAGCCTCGTCGTCTGTTAAATGTAGATGGAACTTATTCAACTTGTATGTGGCCATGGCTTCTAAAAGCTTGAATATCTCCTCCTTTGGTTGAAAATTTCGACCTACATCCAAGTGCACGCCACGATATTGAAATCGAGGCTGATCTCTGATTGTCACCACCGGAAGTTTATTGACACCATTTACAGGTTGAATTAAGCTTTGTAAGGTTTTGTAAGCGTAAAATGCACCTTTACTTGTGTGAGCTAAGATTCTTATTATAGACGTTGATACATCTATCTCATATGCTTCATCGCGCGTGTTTGAATTGTGCATAATGTTCATATTGGTTGCCATCTTTAGGCTTATAAACTTATGATGGGGTCTGCTGTGTTGCATGCTTAAATTGAAAAGATCTGTAAATAAATCGGATAAAGATAATAATCTTCACAATAAGAAAGTACTAACATCTGAATTGTTTTTGTTAGGGGTCTTAATTGTAATTCTGAAGAGTACTTACTTGCAATTAGGATTGCCTCCTTTTCAAATATATTGGTATGATAAAAGACCCAAGTATTATCAATTGTAATACTGTTATTCTGTTTAGTAATTATATGAACTGGAGTGGGTATTACTTGTTTAGCTTCCGTTCCAGATATAGTCATGTTGTCATTTATGTTGTATCTATCCTGTGGAGTGTAGGGCGAGTAGATGTCACCCTCAAAACGATGATATTGCTCGGGTCTAACAAAAGAGTCAACAAAACCCAGAGCCTCGTTTTCGGTAGACACGACATCTTTTGGTTGCATACCCTCAGCTGCAACAAACCAATTTGGCATAGAATCCGTTCTTGCCACTTGATAACCTTGCACAACAAGATTGCAGGTTAGAGTGTTGCTCTCTGGTAGGCTGAACTCTCTGTCCGGTTTTAATTTAAAAAGGGATCCTCCAACATGAAATAAACTCATCTTGCAATCCCTTAAAATATACCCCTCGGGGTAAGGATATTCATCCGGTTGAATCAGATGAGATGAAAAGAAATGAATTTCCCAGTTCCCCGCATAAACATGTCTACTTCCATTGTTTTTAATAAAAATGGCCGTTGTATACTTCTTAGATAAATTCGTATTACTTATGACTTTATATCTTATTGTTAATTCATTGGCAATATAGTCAACTAAATGTTGTTCAGCAATCGGCAAAGGCTCATCTGGAAAAAAAAAATCTTAGTGCTTTTATTTGTTTTGTTCTGTTTTTAAAAGTTACGTACAGGTATGCAGATTCATTTCTCAAAAGTTGATTTTCATTATAAACAGAAAACAGCACAGCACTCTGACAGACCTACCCAAAATGAACAAAATTACTTCTTGACGTCTGCATAATTTTCATGTAAAGTATAACACAACAAATTCTTACCAGGATAGAATTTTACCACCCTGCTGAATCTTTTTCCATCTTTTGTACTATAGAAAAGAAATTATGTAAAACAGATACATGGTCTAGCTCTGCCAATGAAACTTACCAATGGCATTCCTGTTTCGTAAATGAAATTATGATAAAGTCAGACAAGGAAACCAAGACTACGTATTTACCATACAATCAATACACTTGCATGAATGGGAAACAATTTATTACTGTTACGAGCAATGGCTAAGCTGTTTAAAGTGCATGCATTCAATCCGCACGCTTTTAGCCATTCTTTCATGCTGTCCTTGTTCTTTGAGAAAGAACTTCGGAACATACGTCAACATACAATTACTATATTCAGAAAATTGAGTATTACTTAAAAATTACTGGATATTTATATAAAGTTTGAGTGCAAAAATTAATCAACTAAGATCATTCATTAAAATATAAAATATGTTTTTAGTATAAAAGAGAGATAAAAATCGTAATCACATTGATCTAAGCAGCAATGATTCCTCTGTTACGTTCCATCCTGGCGGTACGTCTAGCCACGAGGCTCCCTGGTTATTGCTGTACTGAACAATATGTCCAGGGAACTGCATGTTCACATGAAGGACGCCATTTTTCATTCTTCCGCAGTAAATGTTACACATTGAATACACATCAGTTTAGTTTTATATATATATATATATATATATATATCTTTTTTTTATATTATAAACTGTTCTGAAAGCATACGTAATTGATTTTCTTTTAGCAAAGCAATGAAGTTTGGGGCTGACAAAAGCAAACAGGCGTCTTCCTTTTAAAGGCACCTAAATCTGTATGAAAAACTGGACACTTTTGAAAACTAGAGTCAGACGTATTTTCACTTTATCCTTGTCTTCCAAACTTTCTATTGTAATCAGTGCAACTTTACAACTTATTATCATAGAAAAGGTTGATAATAAGTAAAATTTACTTACATGGCACCTGGTGGGCCTATTCTATACTTTATCCCTAGACTATGCAGACGATCTAATTCCTTATATCCGACTGTGTTGGCAAACGCCTCCCAATCGGAAGCTGATGCCGCTTCCCTTTTGGGATCATCAAAATCTTCCCATGATGCTTTGTGCCATGCTCTTTCAGCAAGTGACAAAAGCTGAGGAAATGCTTTGTAGTCTAATCGTTCTGATGTCAACAACATTTCGCCCCAGACATGTCCCTTTATTCCTAAAGGTAAAGAACTTTGACCTCACAGAACCTTTACAGTGACATTTTTATTTATAAGTGTACGCTGCTGTATGCTGAGGAAGCCCATTGAGGACTTATCAAAAATATTTTTGAATTCGTTATAACGAATTCAAATATATCTTTGATAGGTCCTAAATGGGCTTCCCTAGTATGCGTTATCAATCAAATTGTATATTATATATATTGATCGACCGGTAATAAAGAAGAGCTACTCCTTAAAGTATGGATAGTTTTACGTTACATTATTACAAATGATAAATATTACCTCACAAACAACGACTTTCATCAAGTTTCTTTTTTTTCTCTTGAATATAGAAAGACTTACCAACCACTCTGCTTCTCTAAACGAGAGCTTTTTATTGTCACTCCTTAGAGTATGAATAGTTTAACGATATATTGTAACAAATGATAAATGTATTACCTCACAGACAACGACTTTCATCAAGTTTCTTTTTTGTACGTTAAACGACTTACCAACTATGTTGCTTCTATTTACTAGAGGAGGACAGTTTATGTCTTTATAACCACACACTTCGAGGTGTGTAATTTTCTCCCCTGTGCGTTTTACGTCGATGTTATCGTACAGTCTGTCCGGCAGGAATCGGAATGTCTTTATTGCGTCAGTAAATCGCGTGGCCCAGTATAATCCGGGTTCTTCCGGATCCGGTTCTGTTGGTTGGTCGAAGTACAAATGCGTTGCTTGAGCCATAATAACCTTTTAAAAAATAAATACGTTTTAGTCAAATTTATTTTAACACATTGGTTCAAATATTAAGAAGTATCTTTAATTTACTCTCCGCTTTTCGCGAATAATCCGGAACAAATGCCTATCTTTTAATTAAGAAATTTAAATGTACATTTGACGAGATTCATAGAAATAATTGTTATGAAAGAAACAATACATTGTACAAAATGGATTTCACCGATACCTTATAGCCACTGTTAGCCAGCTCGTATGCCCTTTTGGCTTGACCCCATTCCCAAACATTTAAATAAGCGTCTGCATATGCTTCAGAATTTGGCGTAACGTTTCTATTGAATGGGATTTTGTTATCTTCCAATAAACCTCCTTCCCAGCCCGCTATGTTGAGGCCATACCGGCTAGTAATTTCAGCAACTCGATACAGAAAATATCTTTTCAAACGCCTAGCATCTGAATAATAAGAATCAAGTCTGGCCATATGTTGACATTTTGTTGAATTTACCCATGCACCCATCCCTACTTCGTCACCACCAAAGTGAAAAGTTTTCAATCCAGGGTGCATTTTCAAAATTTCTAATACCACTTTTTCAATAAATAAATATGTAGATTCAATACAAGGGTTGATTGCGTTGTCATTGAAAATCTGAAAAGATGAATATATACTGGTATCATTAGGATCAATCAATCTGTACTGGTTTGCTTTAGTCAAGTTACTGTCCTTGTATTTCAAATATCGTGCCTCCATGGCTTTGATAGCTGCTCGAGCGTGACCAGGCATGTCAATTTCCGGTATAATCTCGATATGACGTTTTTTCGCTTCGAGTACCAGATGTCTGTAGTCTGTAACATTAAAGAAACCGGAACCAGATGTTGACTCATCTCCTCCGGACCCAAGCTGCGGAATTAGACATTTAGTCTCCGAAAGATCGTGACATCTTTTCCCAGCAACCTGCAGAGAGAAAAAATGACTTGAAAATCTTTAAACTATACAGTATCATGTCGTTCCATTATCTTTTCTGACTTATTTCCAGTTTTTTTCCACTGTCATATAACTAACAACCAATTGCAAAGATTTAATACCTAAATGTTATTATTTAAATGTAAGACTTTCAAAGCGATAACGCTTTTAAAAAAATCACTACTGTCACTACTTAGAAATTATGAGAACAATATTTCTTAGATGTAATTATTTTTTATTATTATTATTTACATATAGAATCAGGAAGCAAGGTCACTCGGTTACCTTAATAAAACTATCTACTAGTTTATTTATCACCGATTTATGCACTACAATAAATGTTTGTTTTTTATACAGACGAAGAGCTAACGGGTAAATACATCTGCAGGTAACTGTTCTTCAAATATTTTGTATTTGTATTGAGCTTAAAATAGGTGACAAAGGGAAGGGGTTAGCGAGGGTTGCACACCCTTTCAGATCTGTCTCTGAGATTCGAACAGAGTAGCGATGTTTATTGATTTACCTCTGTTAGCTCCGATAATCCGGGTATTTCTAACCTCCATCCCTCATCGTCAGCGAGATGCAAATGAAGTTTGTTCAATTTATACATAGCCATTCCATCCATCAATCGGATAATATCTGCTTTTGTCCGAAAGTTGCGTGCTACGTCTATAAACATGCATCTGAACTCATATCGCGGCTCATCTTCTATCAGAACGTTCGGAACACTTATTTTGTCAGGCGCACCTGCCACTAAACTGAGCAGCGATTGGATGCCGTAGTATACACCAGATGACGTTTGGCCAATTATATTAATTGTTTTATTTCCATGGTTAACGAATAAATAGTAGGCCTCACTGTTGTTTCCAATAGACGGATCCATCAAGAGATTTATTGCATTCCTACGTGAAATAATAGTGTCGTTGTTTATTACAACTGTCAGTCTTAGTTTGTCTGAAAAAGAAATTACATTTCTTGACATTAATCTAAATAAGGATAAAGTAAAAGTAGGTATTTAACAAAGCAAAGCAAAACAAACAAAATACGCATCAGTACATGAAAAACTTACTTGCTAAATAGTTTGCCTCTTCCAGCAACTGAGAATTGCAGATGACAGTCATGTTGCGAACTGGCAAAAAGTCATTTGAAAGTAGTTCAACCTTCTTAGGTGTTGGCAGAATTAACTTCACAGAATGCCCAAAATCCCTAAAATCAAATCTTCTGTATCGGTCTTGAGCCGTAAACGGATTATACTGATCTACTCGGTACCTCTTCCACTGGCGTGCTTTAGTGAAGTTTGTCACAAAATTCTTTCCTAAGCTTGTTGAATGAATGTTAACTGGTTTCAGAGAAGGTGCCGCAACGTACCAATTTGGTGGAACATCAGTTCTAGTTACAGCCCAGTCCTGGCCGTAAAATTCAGAAAAATGCGACTTGTTTGTGATTAGATCTGGGAACCCCCTAATTGGAGACAAGCTGAACAAACATCCTTGGACATGATCAATTTTCAAGAAATAGTGCGGTAGAACGTATCCTTCCGCAGATGGTAAGTGATCAGGTTCTAGCATGAAGAAGCTACAGAAGTAAATTGACCAGGCTCCTCTTCTGATGACACTACTTCCGGTGTTTGTCATATTGAGGCTGAATTTATGCTGTCTGCCATTTTGTTTTAAATTATCTTCAACAGTTATTTTAATATCAAGATATTCACCAATATAATTGAGATCAGCTTGCTGCAGTGTGTTAACGGACACTAAAAATAGAGAAAATTATCACAATGCATTACTTTTTTGCAGTATCCCATAGTTTAAAATCGGTATATGGTATACTGTATTAAATAGGCAAGAATGTCCGTGAAAAGATGTCTGCACTAGTTAGAAATCTGTGTGGATTTAACCTGTTCAGGTTATGTGATAAGAATTTTACATCGCAAAATTATAGATATGTAATTTAGTACGACTATTATGACAAGGAGAGAAGAAGGAAGAAGAAAATTAATATAAACTCCAGATCTTCATATTTTCACACTCTCGAAATAACACGGGTTGTATCTTACTCATTAGTTCTATTAGACATTAGGATAAAGTACGAAAATTAAGATATAGTGCTTGTATTTGTGGGTTTTTTTTTTTTTTTTTTTTTTTTTTTTTTTTTTTGCAAACAGTAATGTAACCCTCTTATTTTTCCAGGGCTATAAACCGGTTAAAAAGAATTAAAAAATGATAAATTTACTTTCAAAATTTCTTTGGGCGTATCCAGATTTTAACGAGTACTGTAGACCAACTTTTATTCGCGTGCAAGAAATATTCGCGAGTTTCGCGACCTCGCAAATATTAATCGCCGCGAACCATTAATTTCGCTTTATATTTGTAGAGAATGTTTCCTCAGTCGCGAAAATTATTTGTTGCAGATTGATTTCAAACTGACGAATCGCGATTAAAAGATGACGCGATTAATATTTGGTTTTAAATTATTCAGCAGCTAAGTCTGAGGTTTCCCTTCAAAACTATTTTTTCCTTAGTTCCCCTTTTCTTCCCCCCCCCCCACTTTAATTTGTTACCGTATATTTGCGTAAATTTCATTACATTGTGAGATAATTTAGCGGTTTTTTTCAGTGCTCCACTTACCTGCTGCTGTCAGCAAGAAAAGAACCAGGTAAGACATCGCCATTATTATATCAACTTTGTCAAGAGATTTTGACCGAAGTGACGTTACGATCTTCTGCACTCAAATAAATAATAATTCAAGTGCAAGGACTTGAACTAGGTGAACTTTATCAAAATATTTTCTGAGACCGAAAGATAATATACATGTGTGATGCAGACAAAAATGAAATGAATTACGACCGATGTCAACGTCAATAAGTCCAGATCAGTTTGGCAAATTTCGTTTGGGGATGGAGATTGCTTTTTTTTATTGCATTTCTTCATTATGATAGTCATAAGGACAAATATTTATAAATGAATTGACACATATGGAAATATCCTATCCGAGATTAGATATAAATGTCAATAGGTATATCTTTAAAATTACTTCAATGTGTTCGTTTATCTTTCAACTAAAGATTATCTGATACAAATGTAGTCCTTCGTGTATATGTTAGCAAATGTTGTTTGTGAGATATATGTTTCTCAACTTAACATCTGTGTGTGAAATGTTTTAAACTAGCATGAGTAATTAGAACGCAAAACTGCCATTATGCACCCTTTCTTTCATCAGCTCAGAAATCAACCTTTTTCTACTTTAATTCCCTTAATCTTACTAAACGTTCACTTATTGTAAGTTAAGACAAAAAACACTTTGATGAAATAATTATACAAGGAAATAATGTACGAAATAAATTTCATTTTTAATTGTTTAATATGGATCCACTCTGTCTCTGTTCAGCGCTTGATTTACGTTCATCAGCTGCTAAGATAACATAATTTCTCTCGGCGTTATCAAAGTAAAAAGGAACCTGGGTTATTTTCTTACAATATAGACATATTTCTTCAGCATCCTTATATAAATAAAATACTGTCCAAAAGGAACATAGGACCCCCCTCCCCCCCCAAAAAAAAAAACTGATTGAGCCACCATATAGGTATTTTTAATCCTAAATTGTGAAAAAAAGGGGGAGGGGATTTTGGGGTCCAATTCCCGAAATATCATTGTTTAAAAAGAAATTGATTCGTCTTCGGCGATCGGTAAATAAATATATAGAAGAAGGTCCCACTATGTGAAAGATATCAAAGTATAGGACATTATTCGCAGCTTTCATTTTATCAAGTGTAAACAATTAGTAATCTTCTTATCCCTACGGTGTTATATTTTGGACATACATTTTTTAGCTTTTATGTGGAAAAATTTTATTTCATCAGCACGGGATATTATCTCGTTTGCATGACTTTTCATCTCGTTTGAATACGTTCGCACAATCTGTCACGAATCTACGATCCGTATTAGATTTTATTAATGGATAAAAATTATATGTGTTTTCTGTTAAATATAATATATCTAATCAATAAATACTAAATATAAAAATGTATAAAACATTATAATATTCGAAAAACTACACACATAACCAGGAGATCGATTGATTGAATTTTTTGTCGTACCATTCGAGAATTTTACACTCATTTAGAGACGTCACCATATGACCGTGAAGGGCTTCAAATTCAGACGAATACTCGGTCTCAGGGCAATAGAGCAGTGAGGGTTTTTTATCCTGCCAACGCCTACCGTGATATGGGACCTTTGTTTTAAGGTTTCATCAGAAAGACTCCTTACTTTCATTTCTCGTTCCTGGCGCTAAGCGAAGGAACAGTCACTACTTTTGTTTACGTCTTAGGTTTGACGAGGCGTGGCGAACGAGAATCGAACCGTGCCCCCCGATCACGAAGCGACCGTCCGACCACTAGGCTATCTTGAATGTTACTTTGCCAGGTATATTAAGTATTCGCTGTTGGTCAAATGTTACAAAATTTAAACTTGATCTGTAGTGTGTTACTATTAAGGTACCCAGCAAAATTCAATTCAATTCTCAAAAGCATAAAGAAAAAAAATACGAAAAAGCAAGAGGGGCAGATTAACAGACAGACAGAGGGACGGCTATACAGACTGACGGAGGGACAGACGCAGAGGAAACCTATAATCACCTCAATTTTCACTGGCAGGGTACTAATTATAATAACATAATTCTATTTCGGCATACAGTACTATAAGCACGTGATTAGATTTTTTCAATGTTTCCCTCATCCACACACTGAAGTCAATTTCTAAACACATTAGACTTCGGTCAGTTTAATAATATTATCAATGCAAAGTAAAGAAAAAAAGAAATACAAAATCTTATCATGTGCGAAAAGACAAAATAACTACATGTAATTATGATATATAATAAATCGTGCGAAGCACATAAATTATCGTGTGAACGACATATCATGTCGTGTAAATGAGATAATCTCTCGTGCAAAGAAGATAATCTCTCGTGCAAAGGAGATAGTGTCATAAGATAGTGTCATACGAACGAGATAGTTTTTCGTGCGAACGAGATAATATGTCTTTTGGACGAGATAATAACTCGTGCGAACCATATAATATCTCTTGTGAACAACATCAAATTTTCCAACATAAGAAGGAAAATAATATTTGCATGTTCGAAATGCACCATCGCTCACCCTTGAAAAAGTAAATGATAACACGAAGAAGCTGGACAATATAGCAACATATAAGTCATGAAATTATACAGAAAATTTGAGAAAATATTATTTTCAAATCTGTTTTTAAGCACCTTTAAGATCATAACTCAGGTGAGCATTTCTGATCAAATTATGTAGGTCGTCCGTATTTCTGTCTGGAAGTGTCTGTATATGTGTTACGTTTTTAAAATTTGTTTTGCATTTTTTTTTTTCAAAACTACAAATTTTTACCAAACATGGATGAAATATTAAGTAAGTTAGGGCTTTTCCACTACCGTGGGGAGGGGGGTAAATATAGAAAATCGTCAAGGAGTTTAACACCCTATTCTTTTTTCTCCTTACAAAATTTGTGCAGAGGATTTCTCGGAGATGGATCGTTCGATTTTATTCAAATTTTCAATGTAGATGCGTTGACATCTGAAGTTAATTCCGGCAAGTCCGTTAAGGGATATTTACTTCCGGTCAAGAGTTATCGCCCTTTTATTTAAATTCAAAGGACCTCCTTGTCTGCGATGGAACTCAAAAACGGCTTAAGCTAGAGTGCTGAAATTTTCAGTGATAATAGAGGACATGTTGCTATTCTGCACCTGGGTTTAGATATTTTCCGGAAGTGCCTAGTATGGAAGCTCGGTAGGGGTCGAAATTTAGGACACGAATCATGAGTGAATTTTTGAGACATTTTGTACCATATCTTTTAAAGTATAATTATTTTGTTAAAACATATTGAACAATATTTTTACAGAATGACAAGATCTTTGATATGATATCAAGAAAAAAGGGCTGACTCATCATATGAGGGACCGAGAGGGGCAAAAAGTCTTTAATCGATAACTCTTAAACAAGCAATATTTTGGTATACATTACTGAAGCAAAAATGTTCATCTTTACAATTTGCAACCATATATTTTAAAATTTTCAATAAATATTTCGTAATTAGGGGCTATAAGGGGCCAGAATACTTAATCTTTGACGATTTATATCTCGAAAAGTGGAAACATTTTGAAAAGCAATATTGAACAAAAGTTGTTTAGAATGATGTTCTCAACAATGTGGATTCTTTTAATTTTCCCTAAACAGCCCCTATAAGGACTTAAAGGGGCGGCCCCTAAATATGTCAAGTCTACATATCTCGAAAACGAAACTTCTGAATAGTTGTTGAATAAAAAGTCTTCAGATTTACAAGACCTTTCATGTCATATCAAGAGAAAGGGGCTAGCCCCTCAAATTAGGGGCTCAAAGGGGACAAAAGTCTTTCATCTATAACTCTTTAACGCTAAATATTTTGATATTAATTATTGAAGCAAAAATGTTCATCTTCACAATCTGCAATCATATATTTTAGAGTTTCCTTCAAATATTACGTAATTAGGGGCCATAAGGGGCCAAAATGCTTCATCTTTGACGATTTATATCTCGAAAAGAGGAAACATTTTGAAAAGCATTATTGAACAAAAGTTGTTTAGAATGAT